TGTTTCAAAGTGCGATGCGAGTGCGAGCATATCGTCTCGTTTCTGAGTCTGTTCTTCGATGGTGCTTGTTGTAGAAGGTGTGTGTCTCGTTGGAGTAAAAGACAATAAAATTTTGGCCCAAATATTAAAAATAAGTCGGCTGCGTTTTTGTGAAGCCGGCCGGCCGTCAGCGTGTGCGCGTTTGAAATCGAAATCCGCACTCAGGCGTGAACCTCAGTTATTGAAACCTGCCACTCCGTTAAGTCGGTGTCACTTTCTACCACTCGCGCGTTGAAACTGTTTTGTTCTGTTCTCCGTCGAGTATGGACTTCAACCGATAACAATTGACAGACATCGAATTGTCTCCCTAGATTCTTTGTTCAGAAAATAGAGGCAGCGATAGAATACTTTTCTTTTCCATGAATGGATAATAACAAAAGACTAACCTTTCGTCTGTTATGTCCAATGGAATATTTGAATATCTGAGGGGATGCGTAATAACGGAATATTTATAGGATTCGATTGACAGTGCAAACAAGTGACGCCTTTTACTAAAACATCTTCATTGGTAAAATCGATGCATTCATTCGTTTTCAGTGTTCACAATTAGTACTGGGTCGCGGTACAGCAACTTCAGGAGGCATTTCCAATGCTTGCAAATTTAATCAAGCGGGTACGCTTGATGGACTGGGTTTCAAGGCACGATTGTGCCAGATCTTTACTATCATCGAGCCATCCGATGAACGGTATGTCTATGGATAAACTTCCATAAAACTTTGTCAAGAGGGTCGACTTTGCAAGTGTCCTCTCTGTTATCCTAACTGCATATCTCAAGCACGGTAATAATGATACGTTTCTCAATGTTCGAAGCTACAAATCGCATGCGGAGCAATCTCGAACCGCATCGAGCCTGAACAATTCACCAGCCTTTGGCAGGATCGTAATTTCGTTGTATTCACAGATTCCACCCTCCATTCAATATTCACTATTCCTCTTCGAGGTGAGAGGAGGTACACAAATTTGTGTGAAGGCATGCGCCTCACACTACTGCTCAACTTCTTTATCATCGCTGAACGGTTTTGCTTCTGCATTACCTATCAATTTATCTGATTGACTCATTTGTATATTTTCCTGCGGTATTTTCAAGAACTAAATAATTCATTTCTTCATTTTTCTTGTCTTTATTTTGTGCATTTGCAAAAAAAATTAAATCATGATTGTTGTGAAATAACCAAGACATTGAAACTGTCTGAATAAAAAAGTCAGAGTCGATGAGCAGAACACGCTGCAAAAAGAGCTGATCATCGCTCGACCGGAGAGACATTAGACTGGGTTTCAAAACGGAGCAAACGGTCCATAAGAAAACCTCCAGAACGATGAGAAGATGGGTCAACGAGTTTGCTAGATCAAGATGGATAAAAGCTGCTGAGTGTTGGAAAAACCTTTGTCCATCCAAAGTGGGCTGATAATGATGATCAACCCCGGCGTTGATGGTGTGGTGCAGCTTGATTCCAGGGCTTTCGGGTGTCTGTTTAGTGCAACCGTGATAAATGGTTTTCCCTTTCTACAAAATTGTCTCAAGATGCTAGACAAACTGGTTGAGTACAACGCCTTAACCGTAGCCGACGAACCTCCCACGTGGGAACACGTCGAACAGATTGAATGGATGGAAAAATAGAGACATATTCATATAGGCGATGAATTTTGACTTCTACAATGTCACAACCGCTGCGTTATGACAAGTGCTCAACAGCCGAGAAAGCAGCATTAATGCTTACTAATACAATGTACTGAAGACGACATTATTATTAAACAAAAATACAAGAAATAATACCCATGGCGACCTTAGCTAACATGGTTATGCATTCGCACGGCTTTAATGACTTTGTCGTTAACGATATATAAAGTCGTTATATTCAGCATGATGCTTTTGAATGCAACAGTTCGAGAAAGCCGCCATTAAGGAGTCGAACAAGTCGGTGGTCACTGTGCCTCAGCGATCACTTATCCCTTATCCCGTGTAGGCAGACCTGTGGCACTGCTTCTTCGACGGGCCCGGTCCTGTGCCAACGTCAGAGCTCAAGGAAAATAAGCTGAGTCTGGAGCAGAGTTCTGTGAGGCAATCGCTGTAGGTAATGCTTGGCCGTCCCAGGGGGTATTCGATCATTCAGATGGTTGAAAAAGTAGTAGCTATTCGCCATTTTTTGTAAACACTCGAAAGACACCTTCGCAGCTGTGACTTGTCAATTTGGAGAATAAGCGGCGTAGACAAAGACTCTGTCGAGCATCTGAGCTCTGGAACATGTCGAGATGCGTGAGCTTCGTGATTCGTCTCAGAAAGAGCATTTTAGTCGCTTCGTACCCGGGATCGAAGTTTCTCAGACATGGCCCACGACCCATGAAACGAGGTAAGCATGGGGAAGAAAACTGACTTGAGCACAGACAATATAGTCTTAAGCCTCAATTATGAATTAGGCAAAAATGTTAATGATTGGCAGGTACCATAAATACGCCAGATGGAATGATGGAATAGAATTTTGAAAAGTCAAGCAAGAATGAATAACCGCATCATCAAAATGTCAACTTACCTCAGAAAATGAGCAGTATACGTAGAAGCGGAATTTCCTACAAATGACCAACGTTTCCCATGAATAACTGAAGGGAAGCAAGAGTAAAAATTATCAGCAGAAGAATATACTATTCGTAAGAACCGTGATGCCTAATGACAGCTTTGACGGCTGATACCGAACCTGTCGACAGACAAATGACTCTTGAAACACAAAAAATTTAAAACATCAAATGTATTTGCCCCGCTTGAATATGTACGTGGAAAATAATGATTATCTGGTCATCATTTATAAAACTCAAGCATCTCACGAATGCAGATGACCTAGAATGCTATGCAGTCTTGGGGAAAATAAAGGGCAAAGTAAATATGGTCCAACAACTTAACAGAAGGTTTTGGAGCAAGCCCATGAGGTCTTTGAGACGGCGAACAGTCAACCTAGTTAATCATATTTTAAGATTAAGCCTCGATAGCCACTGGTCACTAGGCAAACATGTTCGTAATCATAACCTATCAGGTCATTGAAACTTGCGTGAGATCGCCTAACCGCCGAGAACAGCGCGCTAATTGAAACAACTCTCTAAAGGGTACAAAACTGTAAAGTTTAAATCATTAAACTGGCTTTTTCGAACTAATGGAAAACGATTTAGTTATTCCTCAGTTGAGAGGGCAAGCCGGATAGATCGCGATACTGCGGTGAAGGAAAAAAGCTCTAAAATATCCATATGTGAAACTGGGGCGAAAGAATTTTTACTTTTAACATGTGTCTTTTCAGAGTTCAAAGAAACGGCAAAGAAAAAGTTTAAGAAAGAGTAAACAAAAAAGATTAAAACCGACTAGTTGCTATCAATGCAATAACCATTGCCATGATACATAAATTTGTGACGCAGAACCTGACTTCACGGCGTTTGAGCAGACGCCTAGTTCCAAGATTGCTACTGCCACTTATTTAGGACGGTTCCATGACATTTGAGTGTCTGCGGTATTAGTGACATAAGGCACGAGCAACATTTTAGAAACTGGTATTCTTTATATGCTACTTTATAAACATAAGAAGTATATGTTCGCATACTGGGGTAGTTTATATGGCAAATAAGGTTTCCTAGACCAGGCTTCAAGCAGTATTGAATACCCTCTCTCTTACTTCTGGCACATCAGGAGTACCAATTATTGAAACATTGCTCATAATAAGGACAAAGCGACTCTAACTCACGAAATAATGCCGACTGCTTCTATCAGGTGCTTAAATATCATGGCTTTCTTAAATCCTCTCCCATTAGCATCTAGGAGCAAAGGGCAATGCAGTTCGCCGTTAAGTCTGGTCATGGAGGAATCATTCATTATTTGACATGCTTACCTGTGAACAGATTATGATATTAATGCAGTAGCGTATAATGAGTAGAAGTTCCTGAAACATTGCTCATAATGATTGTGAGGAGATTCTAGCAATCAAATGATGCATATAGAATTGCATGTATCACCTGCATCTGGGCAACCCGACAAAATTGCATCGCCTAGGAACCCGCCACGAAAACGGTTCCAATTAAGTTTGACATCCAATTATAACACCAAATTTTTTTTTGAAGATAATTCGCCACCACCTGAGATCAAGATTGTTGTCAATCTTCTTCCGGATTGGACAACGGTGGCGCCTTGTCAATTCGTCTTTAGTTTAGCTAGAAATCAATATGAGACACGTATTTATTTCAATAAATTATTTATGACATTCAAGTTTAAACCAGGACCTCGTTGCACCTGAAAATTCTTCGAAGACCCACCATATACTTTATTAGATACCACTGTTCACATTGAACAAGTGGAATTACCATAATTTATTCTTAAATAGATCCATGAAATATTGACCCAAAAAATTAGCTGGCAGTTCATCGATTGACCAAAGTTTGATTTGAATAATTATTGTTTGACAAATTTACTATTAAATGATGTATGCATGTATTCAGCAACATTGAGGCAACGTTGGACACTTGACCAGTCGCATGATCCAGGAAAGCAGTTACAATACTCAACAGCATGAACTCAGTATTCTGCACTTCTTCAGGTTCTAAATGGCAGGATTCTCTCGAAGAATGACCTGCATAGTAGAGTGATGTTTTGGATTATACTTAGGCTGCGTGTAGGGAGTGAAATGAGAATTAATAAATCAGATTCTTTCCAGTATCAGTGAATTTCTTCATTGCGAACAGATCTGACGATCTAGGAAAGTGCAACTCCTTCTTTTCGAATATGATTTCTTGTTCATCACCAGACGGTGGATCGTTTCGAAATTGAAACCTCATTTCAGGATGCAAATGGCATAAAGAAAAATTAGAAACCTGGTCCTGTAGTGAACCTGTCGATATTATTAGTCATAAACATCTGGCGAGTGCCTGCCTACCGCTGCAGCGAAAGCGTCCAAATCTGGGCAAGTTTTTCGGTGGCCGTCAAGAGTTGCAGCATGAGCGACCGGGCCGGGAAACGGGTCGGTTGCCGGTTAGGTCGTTTCCGATGCCAGTACCTCAGCTTCGATTCTTATCCGATACGGTCAGCCGTCACTTTGACGACCAGACCGCCTCAGACTCACAGGTGAACGATTGCGCAATCGCCTAGCACCGACTTACGGTGACAGGCAAACGCGATGCTCAGCCTACCGCTTCTCACTGCACTGTGAAATGCAGTACTTAAAAAAGACCAATTTCCAGAGAAAATCATGCAGCGCATTTCTGTCCGGTCCGAACGGTCCAAGGTGTTGCCGTCGCACGGTTTCGTCGCCACTGCCGACACAGCACTTTCTTTCACCATTGGCATGGTCGAACACTGCCACAAGTTTCAAACTGGTCATCGACGAAGTAAATGCATAAAAAGACCATTGGAAAACAAAACAACAAAAATAAAAGCACTTCGACGTCAAAAACCTCCAGTCGCGCAGGGGCTGCCGTACTCGACCTCATACCCCCCCGCACCATAAACGAAAACGATTTCTTTCAATCATTCGTGTGCTTGGATGAAAATCAAAACGGCACTACTCACAACCGTATCACATAGCGCAGTTTCCGACATCCGAAACGATATGTGGCATTTTCGACGAACCCAACCAATGGTAAATAAGTTTGAAATTCTGGCAGTTCAACGATCAACATCCGTTCATATTAATTTCGAACGGAAACCTGACTAAATCTTGACTAAATCAATGAAACCTTCAGCTCATTCACAGAAACATGTTGATTCGCCGGTTCTAAACATAAGTGTCTGAACACTACCTGAGGACAGGGGGTTTCACTCAGTAGTCAAGCAAGAAAAATTGTTGCAGCTCGGTTTAACGTGCATAATTATGGTAAACCGTGCCAGAGATTCGAAATCCCCGTCGTAAATAAACTTTTCGCTAATTTATGAGACTTTCTAGTCGCATGAAACTCTTCCATGACGAAGTTTCACTGTTTTGCCTCACCCCACCCTTATTGCCCCTAGCTACCCAGGGAGGCCATTTAAGTATGTCATAGCATTTGAGCCCCTGGCATCATTTTTAAGCAAGAGTCACCTTTCGCTCATCACAAGCAATGTTTCAGAAACTGATGCTCCCATACACCATTACATGAACATAAACTGTTCATACGACGGGGTACAACAAATGACTCATCCAAGACCACCTTTCGCGTGACCATCACCTGCTTAAATGGCTACCTAGGTATCTAGAATAAAAAGAAGATTCAGCAAGCCGCGAAAATTGGTCTTTGGAGGAATCATTCCTTATCTGAAATGCTCTGGCGAACGAATAATCAATCATGTTTGAAACTGACTTTATATTACCATGGCCCAGTAAGGAGTTCCAGAAGTGAACGGTATTTAATACGAAGAAAATTACTTTATGGCAACTGGCAAGAAGAATGGAAATGCAGCATAATGGATTGCATAAATTTGTTTATCATGTTTTCAGCCACATACATGTAAAATGTCATTTGTCATTTTGTAGCACGATCATGGATATTTATCTTATAGACGTTTTATCCAATTATTTTCATCAACGACTGATGTCATATTATTCAACCGAATCGATCCCATTAACAGTAGATAAAGAAAATGACAGCTAGAACGCTGAAAAAATATATTTAATAAGCGAAGCTTTTGGAACCCACAACAGTGTTCCTTCTTCAGCACAAATTAATAATGGCTCATCTTTTACCATTAAGAAGCTTTTTATATAGTTTTGAACACCATCATGACTGTTTAGACAAAAACGAAGGTCCCACGATCGGCTCTGATTCATGGCTTCCTGCATTTCCTGTGGCAATATTTACTGGATTATCTGGGTCGACTGATATTCCACGACGAATCGTACCCACCGCTGCACTTTGGGGGCTGATGAAAACACTGTCAGAGGGCTGATGAAAACCTGGCGAATTTCCTACAGACGGGTCCCTCAACTCCCTTCGGTTCGTTATCGCAATTTTCTCTTCCAGTTTTTGATAAACTGATGCCTAACCTCAAGACAAAATGATACTGACGCTCATTTTAGTCACAAGTGGTGAGTCGCTGTCCCCTCGACAAGATACTCATTGAGCACTGTGACACTTTCCTTGAGGATCGGACTTGTCGACCTCGAACCCAGCCAGAGCCTGATGGTCTTTCCGCTGCCTGCGACTGCTCTTCTTTGTAGTTAATCTCCATATCTGCAGGCCATTTCTGTATTTGCAATTCGGAACGCGCCAGTCATACTAGATGGCGACTTATTAGTTAATAAGATGCACATAGACATATAACACTGAAGCGGTAAGTGGAATCGCTGAATGAGGTCAAACATCTTAATAAACAAAATTTTTGATGAAATCATGGATCTTTTCAAAGACAATTAAATTGAAAGCTTCACTGTTGCGGTTAAATTAGGATATATCTGCTAAAATGATTCAGACGATTTCAAGGCTTTAGAACAGATGAATTAAATGCAATACTTCCAAGGTGCTCCCTTGAGTACATGTCTTAATTAATGACATTTCAATGAACTCAGAATATAACTAACGGAATTATGCAAATCATGAAGAAATTAAGCAACGAATGTCCAGTGGATTCAAGCATCAAGACCATTACATTGTAGTCTGCGTTATCAACAGTGGCCGAATATGAACAAATGTACAGTAAACCATGATCACCAAAATCATAAAGCATGGTCGATATTAGGACCGTTTCATCGACTAATTGTGATCTTTGGTGACAACACCGTTTAGATTCATAGAATAATGGCATTTATAGGGATTACATCAGTTTCTGCACAAATAGGATTAAAGTAACGAAAACTGACTTTAATCAACAGATTCTTTTAGGACAGTGCAAGGCTGGCATATTACAGAAAAATGAATTCAAAATTTTAGGTAGGTGATGAACTAGAACTTAGAACTCATGAGGATATCGAGCAACAATTTAAGTAAGATTTTGAAAATCGAGACAGATCAGCAAAATTTATGTCTACTAAATGAAGATTTTTTAAGCATAGATGGAAAATGAATTGCAGTAGGATTTTTGAGATGGTTACCTACGAATCTATGGATATTTAAGCTGCAACATTGAACTTTATACAATATGGATTAAAATGAAAAGAATTCATAGCGACGAACGAACGGATCGAATAAAATGTAGAAAAGCAAATAGATGTGGCAGAAATTTGCAAAAATCAACTCGGGTGATTAGGCTACTGCAAGAAAACAACAATGCTACAAAAGCAAAGCAGATGAATACGACAGCACCAGGAAGCTAAAGGAAAGTGCATCCACGTAAAACAATAATGAGAAAAAGATAAATGAAAAAACAACAGCAATTAAGTGTCCTAAGATCTTTGCCAACTTATTATGATGCTTGCGATTCAAATGAAAACGGCGCCATTAACATTTGGAAGTTGAGTTAGGGGTCACTTACAGTAATTTAAGTGAAAATGCACATAATGGTAAGGTAGAGGACACAACAAGTTTACAGTTTGATTCGCGCTTTAAGGTTGTTGAGTTTGGTCCAAATAATAGTTTAATATTTTTCACATTAACTAATAATTTTTTTTGAGAGGCAACTCCTCACTATGCTCGAATGCAAACAACCTCTACTCGGGAGTTGTTGACCTCAGAATGACAAGGAGATTATGCTGCTCTTGGTAGTAATGCAATAACTTACCATATTAATATGGCTATTCTCCATGATGCGTATGAATGTGGTTGCAGTACGCTTCATTCCTTCATCTCGTAGCAAACTAAGTGTCAGCATAAAGTAAACACGTTAAAAATTTGAAGTAAATGGCAAAAATAAAAAATGATTGCAAGGTTAGAAATTCCGTTTTCCTTACATTTCTATGGCAGAGCTATTTCTGGAATCCTTCTACTCGTAAATTTAATGATGGGTTGATAATTTATATTTCCATGTCATCAGTCAAGAGTGGTTTTCGAGGCAGGCGTTGTGTATAGTCCCCCTGTTTTTGTTTCATAGACCGGTACATATTTATCAACATTGTAGCAAACAACGGTGAGTTACTCATTCTCAGCTCGAACCCGTGATTTCTATCTTGTAAC